GGAAAATAAACAAGCCTCGTTTTTATGAATCGGTGGTTGCTACTCTAACCAAGCGCTTACCGGAGTCAAGCTTGGTCCAGACGCTCAAAGCTCTTGATAAGCGCTTTTGGCCTGGAGAGCAGGAAGACTTGACTTTGTTTGGCGAACAAGAAGTGCACCGTCTGGCTAAATCGCTCGGAGAACCAGCCGGGGAGGCCGTGGAGCAGTTTAGAGACTGGAAATGGCAGGGCACTCCACCGGGCAAAACACTGGAACGGCTATGCATAGCAAGTCGCACTTACCTCCCCACGTCTGCTGAGTGCGAAAGAGGCTTTTCCGCCGTGAATAACACCGACAACCAGAGCCGCAACAGGTTGCGCGAGGAGAGCCTGTCTTCGCTTCTGTTTGTGGACCTAAACGGACCACCTTTGGACAAATTCAACCCAGTGCCGTTCGTGAAAAGCTGGATTAAAGCAGGACATCGTCTCTCTTCTTCTTGGAAACCAGGACGGCAACGAGAAGAAGTCGAGCCAAGGCATCTTTGGTCTATTCTCACTTAAGGTAAAAGACTATTTTTTCGATCTTTGCTGTGCATAAGATGAGCGTGTGCGTATGTCCTGTGTGGATTCCGGGGTTAAGAATAGCATAATTAGCCTTGGCGTTCAAGTTAGTGTGTGTGTGTGTGCGTGTGTGTGTGTTTGTGGGTGTGTGCAGGCCCGCACCTCCCTACACGCAGACCACGCAGACTGTGTGGGTGTGAAGGTGTGTGCAGGCCCGCCCCTCCCTACACGCAGATCACGCAGACTGTGTGTGTGTGTGTGTGTGTGTGTGTGTGTGTGTGTGTGTGCGTGCGTGCAGGCCCGCCCCTCCCTACACGCAGAGCACGCAGACTGTGTGTGTGTGTGTGTGTGTGTGTGTGTGTGTGTGTGTGTGTGTGTGGTGTGTGTGTGTGTGTGTGTGTGTGTGTGTGTGTGTGTGTGTGTGTGTGTGTGTGTGTGTGTGTGTCTGTGAGACCAGCTCTGCTCCCATTTCCTCGCATAGAATCGAAAACAGATGGCTCTTTAACGCTCGCGTATTCATTCATATGAACGTTAGAATATATAATTATTTGACAGCGCCCGGTTGAGAAACGCTGCTACTACTGATTGTCTTGGATTGCATCCATGAAATATTGCATAGGCTTACTGCATATTGAGAAATCTTCGACCGGTATATTGCGCAATAAACGGGAGATGGGGACCCCCCCGATTATTGACGGGTATTTCGCACACTGGCTGTCGTAACAGACAACGCACGGAATATGGATGTAGCGGTGAGAGAGGCTGGATTTTCCCCACACATAAAGTGTTTTGCACACACTTTAAACCTCGCGTCAAAAGCGGGTTTGAACGTAAACCGGGCAAGCCGTCTGCTTGGTAGAGTGAGGCGTGTAGCTGCGTTTTTTCACCGCAGTTCAACTGCAAGAGCTGTGCTGGCCACCAAACAGGGAATGTTAAACCTGCCAGCGCATAAACTGATCATGGAACAGCTCGCTTGACATGCTCGAGCGCTTCCTGGAGCAACAACAAGCAATCGCTGCAACGCTACTGAGTGCTGAAGTCAGGCGCCGCGCAACGGACGCAAGATAGACACTCTGGAACCAGCTGACATCACAGACGCCGAGGACATGGTTCGGCTTCTCTCACCGCTTAAAAAAGCAACCGCTGTGCGATGAGTCTCAACCTACAGTCTCTCTCATTGTGCCCCTCAAGCACATGATAGAACAAAGCATGGCACAGTGCGATGAGGACTCCTCCACCATCGCCCAAATGAAGAGAGCCATACTGAAGGACTTCACAGACAGATACCAAGGGGAGCAAAACAAGTTTCTGCAAGAAAGCACTGCGTTGGACCCCCGCTTCCGGAGCTTGCAGCAGCTAAATGACAGTCAAAGGGAGGACGTTTTCGACAGGCTGAAGTTGAAAGCCACACAGATGCAGAACCAGGTACATATTTAAATATTCTTTGTGTGACTGTGTAACTTGTTCAGATAAAGTATAAGTTGTGTGTATGTATCTGTTGTTTTTGTGAAAAAAAAGACAAGACATTTAGGATGTTTTTTTCTACCTCTGCTTGCTTGCACAGAACCCTAGTGAAACAGAAGGGGAAAGAGCAGCTGTGCCGCACATGACGGTGATAAGGAACAATCTCCTCCTTCCAAAAAGACAGCACTCGAAGATCTCCTTCGGGAGTCTTTCGTAAAGAAGTGCCATGCGCACAGCACAACGCTGGTATCGAGGCTGAAATTGACTTGTACCGCAAAGCGACCTCTATCTTACTCTCTGACTGTCCTCTCAAGTGGTGGAGAGACAGTGCAACGCTTTACCCACTGCTGTCACCCATGACCAAAGCATATCTCTCTGTCCCAGCCACATCAGTACCAAGTGAGAGAGTTTTTTCCACAGCAGGGGATATTGTAAACACCCAGACATCCCAGCTTCTACCTGGAAATGTGGACATGCTCATCTTCCTGAAAAAAAACCTGTCTGATGAGTGCGAGTGAGTTAGTGAGTTTGAGTTGAGTTACTTGAAATTTATTTTAATTTTATTGCAGGGTCTGATTATTGAATTTCCTTGTTTATTTGCACAAAGAAAATGCCTACTTTGTTAGTACTAGTATGTACAAAAACACTGGTTTGTTCTTGTTCCAGTCTGTTACTGTCACTTTGTTTTTGACACGTTAAATATACTACTATACTAAAATGCTGTACAAATCAGGTTTATTATTTAATTTTAAAAAAAAATTCAAGTAAAAAAAAAATAATTCTAATTTGTTTCCCTTTAGTTTTCAATATCGCGATAAATATCGTACCGTAGACTTGTTATCGCGATATTATCGTACCGTGAGTATTTGATACCGTTATATCCCTACCAATTATAGACCAATCAGCATCCTCCCCTGTGTCTCTAAGATAGCTGAGAAATGGGTGTCAAAACGAATCACCAAACTTTAGATAAAGGTTTCGCTCCACTCCACCCAATGCAGTTTGATTTTCATGCTCACCACTCCACTGAGACAGCTAACTGTGTCTTTGTGGAAAAGGTTAAATGTATGTTGGACACGAGCCCATATGTAGGTGCTGTCTTCCTTGATCTCAGGAAGGCTATTGACACTGTTGACCACCAAGTGCTCCTTACAAAGCTGACTCATTTCAATTTCTCGGCAGTTTCGATACATTGGTTTAAGTCTTACTTATCGAACAGAAAACAGTGTGTTTTGGTCAACGGTGCCAAATCCCCCTACCTTGTCAACTCTGTTGGGGTTCCACAAGGTTCCATTATTGGACCATTACTGTTTTCACTATTAATGACTTGCCTAATGTATGTCCTGAGTTGAATGTGCAAATGTAGGCAATGATGCGGTCATCTTTGTACATGGGAAAAACACTGAAATGATCTCATTTTGTCTCTCAAATGCTTTGGACACGGTTCAACACTGGCTGAACAACATATGCTTACAGTTAAACGTAAAAAAAACAGTATGCATGGTGTTCAGTAAACGACCAGTCAAAATCAAAGGATCCAATGTGTTTTTAAACGGAGCAGAAATAGAACTAGTCCCCCACTTCCAGTATATTGGAGTCATAATGGACTCGAACTTGACTTTTAAGAAACATATTAAGAAAGTATCCAATACCATTAGATTCAACTTGCAAAATGTTAAACAAATTAGACCTTTCTTAACTGTCAAATGTCAATGCTGCAAAGTCATACCTCCACTGTATGATTCTATCCCACATTGAATACTGTTTGACAAACCGGTCGTTTGCTTGTGCCACAAACCTGAAACCAATAGAACAGCTGTACAAGAGAGCTATCAAGGTGTTGGACAGAAAGCCAAATTCATACCACCACTGTGCCATCCTTGAAAAACGTTTTGACCATTTTAAGTCTTTTAAAAGTATGTGCTTTTTTTATAAATGTTTACATGGACAGCCCCCCCCCCCCCCCCCCTTAGGGGAATTCATCCACAGAAACACACTGGACGCTGCACTGTGTCAGAAACCAGAGGAGACTGTGAAGTCCACTGCAGACGGACCACTTTTTGTCAAAATGTCCTCTCCGTTAAAGGCAGCTCTTTCTGGAATAGCCTCCCAACTGAGACACGGGATTGTCCCACTCTCAATAGCTTTAAAGGTCAACTCAAAGAATGGTTGAGAAACAAACAGACGTGCACTCACCGGCACCGCTAACTGCACTTTAACACAGGAGTATCTTCTCTTGCACTTTACATGTCATAGCTGCTACATTGTACTGCCATGTGGTAAATACTCGTATATGCTGCTCATGCTCTTTCTGCATATCATGTATTTATTTTTGATATGTATATAAATGTCATGTTCTAAAATGTTGTATGTCAGGGACTACGGATGGAAATTAGCTCAAAGCTAAAATCCGGCATATTTAATCTTGGAGCATTATTTGTTTAAAGTGTTCATCAATGTGCATTGTCCCTTTTCAAATAAACGATTAAATGAAAATGAAATGAAATGACATCATGAGATGACTTTAGAAGGCTGTACAGCGCTTGCGTAAATATACTACATTACTTTGTCTTGTACGTTTCAGGAAGTGGCTAATGGTTCATTTTCAACTTTGCTGATGGTGCTAATTACCCATTTCCTCCTTGGTCAAACAGATTCACCCTCTCACTGGCACAGCAGTTTTAGGTAGTAGCAAAAAAAGACCTTTATTCATGTAAAAATGTTTCAGTTTAATACTCAATTGACTCAATAAGTGTTTTCATGGTTATGATCGTTTGAATCCACTTGTTCTTGCTGTTGAAGTCAAGGGTAAACACATTTCAAGCATCAGAAAATGGGATACTTATATCATGCTTCACACCTTTACAACAACAACAAATAGAAATCAGACATGTTGGGGAATCACAGTTCACAGTTCTTTCTCAGCCTTAAATAAAATAGGAATGTGTTGATTGGTGATGAGATGCTGTGGAGTTCATACATCTTTTCTCTCTGCAGAACCAAGAACCTGTGTTCTCCAAAGATGGCAGCCAGTTCTTCCTGACGGTCCCGGTGAAACAGGGAGGCCGTGGAGAGTTCCATCACATCGCCATGTTCACCACACAGGTGAGGATCCAGGTCGTAGTCAGTCCCAGGACAGCCACATTACACCGCTCAATCCTTTATTCTAACTCTATAGATATTGTGTTCCCACAGCTTATATACAGTGATGCAAATTAGTCGCTTTTCGGCGCCGGACAACTTCAAAAAAGAAGAAGAAATCTAGACCGCAAAATAATTAAACAAGCAAGTGCCTGTTTTTCCTGGCCAAGGACAGGTTCCTTGAACACAACACGAGCGTAACGTGTCTCACGTGGTTATGTCTCGTCTGAAAGGAGTGTAGACTAGAGCAGTGGTTCCCAACCTTTTTTCCCAAGAGCCCCCCCAAATGACCGGTTGGAAGTTGCGCCCCCCCCGTCCCTCCCACACACACACACACACACACACACACACACACACACACACACACACACACACACACACACACACACACACACACACACACACACCACACACACACACACACACACACACACACACACACACACACACACACACACACACACACACACACACACACACACACAAGGGGGGGTGCAACAGCGGTAATTAAAGTTTAAAAGTCTCAAAACTACTGTCACAAACTGGATGAATGTGAAGTATTTTGTTAAAGGAGGATGAAAGCGTAATTAAGGAGCACTTAAGGAGTGACTTTGATGGCTATTGGACTCAGGATTAATTCATTTGGATTCCCGCTGAATGAAGAAATTAAAGGACGGCGCAGAAGTGGAAACAATTCACAAAGGGATTAAACTGTTTAAAACACATGCTCAAAGTAAGCCGGATTTTGCCGATGTGTTTATGTGGATTCAAAAGTCGTAAATAATCTACAACATGGAGGAGACCGATCTGATCGGAGCAACTGTGACAAATAATCAGAGGCGCGGGAAGGTATTTTGATTGGAGGTGCTGAGGTGCTGGACTCCAGTGAACACCATTACGGGCACTATAGAGCACGCACAAAAGCACTCCCCACACGCAAATACACAGTACACCCGCGACTGTTACAACTCTCTCTCCCTCTCTCACACACACACTAAATGCGCTATTTCCGCACACACACACACACACACACACACACACACACACACACACACACACACACACACACACACACACACACACACACACACACACACACACACACACACACACACAGAGCTTGAATGACACAAGCACACTTTTATTTCCATGCAACTCTCTGATTGGTCTGGTGTCTTGCCTCTGTTGCATTCACTGAACACGGGAAATTACAGTCCTGTCGTCCTCTCTAGTGTCTTGATGAGGTTCACGTAAAGCACGGTTAATGTATTATATTATTGAGGTAGAATTGTCCGGGGCTAAAGAAAAAACATTCGGGGCAGGCCAAAATATTATTTTACCAACAATGCGGAATTTATTGGCTACATATTACACAGATTATGCACAGCGGGAGCAGCAATAACCGTCAAATAATAATTCAGACAGGGGAGCTCCGCACCCCCTGCCTGCCGCTAGGGGGTGCTGCAGCGCCCTCAGCACCCCCCTTCCCGCGCCCATGCAATTAATCCAACTGAAACCGGCATGGACAATGACTATGTTTTAAAAATGCGCTTATCCAGAAAAGCCTGGTTTTGACACTTTACAGGCAGAAGAAACATTTATATTAACCCTTTAACTGCCAGCACCACCATTTGGTAGAGCACATTTTGTGTCTTTATATCTTGTTGAAAAAAAAAGTTGAACTCCATCTGATTCAGCCAGCTCTACCCTTTGGTTGACATGTTATGCACAAAACAACCTCTAGATGTCACTGTGGTTCGAACAGAATGCCCTTCAGCAAGCTTCAACTGAGAAAGTTGTCAATGCTAAAAAGTCACGGCTGAAGAAATCATTCTTTTTGGTCAACTTTTGTAAGGCAACCATATCCTTTTTGACATATTTTAGTGGCAGGGCACTGACTGAACATAATTAGATAACTTGATGCACAAAACAAGGGTGTAATTATTTTTTAGAAAGTATGCTCAACCAATCGGTCGAATTGGCTTTTTATGGTAAGCTAGCAATACGACTTTTTCAGAGTTTCAGAGATGTTTTCCAATACAATATGGTAAATAAATGGCTAGATTCATGGTAATATTATTAAATCTAGTACTGCCTTATGAGTCTCAGAGTGAAAGAGTGATAATCATTTATATAGCACCTTTCATGCATGGCATTCAGCCCAAAATTGCACACAGATGAGCAAGTTAGGCCAACACAGGATATAGACATTTGCTGTTAGGCCAGTGGTTTCTTGTTAGGCCAATTCAGCTTATACAGTAAGATGAACAATTTTTTTTATTATTATGAAAAACACTTTAGATTACTTTTTTCCATTTTTTTTTTTTACAATTATAATTTACTATCTTTTATGAATATATCTGGTTGTATATATTACTCATTACACACATCAATAGTCTTCTGTTGTTCATACTACATCAGAGAGTTTGGAAGAATATGGTTTGGAATAATTTTGGTGAATATTTATACTGTATAATAGTAACGTTATTGAAGATTTTACACTATAAATATTCACCAAAATTATTCAAAAGCACATTCTTCCAAACTCTCTGCTGTAGTGTGAGCAACATGAGACTATTGATGTGTGTAGTGAGTTTGGTAGAAATATACTGTATAAGAGTGAAGTGATTGAATATTATTGTATTCTCTTTTTTCGGAGTTGCACTTTGCAGACGGTCCCTGAGCACTCATTTCTTCTCCAGCTGCAGATAGAGACCAATGTAATGTTGTAGTTTGGAGGACAGCACGTGTTGGCTTTTTTTGATAAAAATGTGATTGTAGTTCGTTGTCAACCTTACCACGGTACTTAGGAGACGTCATTTGTGTCTGAACAACGTTTTGTTCATGAGTTATTGATCCGTGAAATCTGAATCTGCCAATATCGTTCCAACTTTACTCGACTTGTTATCACTCAGTCATCCGTTTCTATAGACCAGGGGTCCCCAAACTTTTTCCTGTGAGGGCCACATAACTTTTCCCTTCTCTGATGGGGGCCGGGTCAATTTGTAACAGAAAAAGTGTGACGATCGCATGGGTGTCTAAACGTAAACATTTATTGTTTTCTAGAAAGCCACACATAACCAAATATTAATAACCCTTTCCGGGATCTTCACAGAAAAAAAGTCAGGAAATAAATAATAACACTATTAATGAAATAAATAACACTATTTATGAAATAAATAATAACCAAATAACCCTCTCTGGGTTCTTCACAGAAAAAAAGTCCATTGAAAATTACTGTAACTTTCTGTTGTGCCGTGCACAATCTTAACAGGTAAAAGTTTAGCTTAGTTGTCAGAGCAGAATCTCTCAAAATAAACGTGGATTTACGTAAAAAAAACTATTTTTTCGGGGTTCGGGTGTTTTGTTTGATTTTAAACAAACAAAGTCTTGGCTTTCAGAATATGAAACTTTTATTTCCAATTTATTTATTTCTCACTCGCAATCTGCTCTTCCGCAGCGCCGCCCCCCCCTCACTCCGCTGAAATTATTAATGTAAGAGTATAGTAATCATAGATAACACTGCAGGGTCCGTTACAGTTTGTTTTCATCTGATTTCAATTAAACAAAGTCTTGGCTTTCAGAATATTAAACTTGTTTCGGCAAATTCAGATGATAAATACAGCTTTGAAGCTTCGGCATAATTACAAGCGGAGAACGGAGTAACTTGACGTCACAGCAGGCATAACAACAGCCGGTGTTTCTCGTGATTGTTTTCCCCGGGAAACAAACACAATACACACAAACGCAAAATTACACAAGCACACACACTCACACACACACACGTATACACACACACTCGCGAGCTTCCCCTCCAAACGAAAATATCTTCCCTCGGTAGTAATTTGATCATTTGCTCCGCTAATAATCAATCAGATCGATGGATTCCAGAGAAGAGACAACTTTGAAGGCCTTTTTCTCAAAATGATGACTCTGTGACAGTCATTATATAATGTGACATATTTCGCTTAATATTTGAAGTACAAAAACAATCCTGATATCATTAGAAAGCTAGGAATCTCCTCTTTCCAACAGTGTATTCAACTCAAAAGGTGTCTTCGGGTCAATGCGACTGATTTAGATAGAGCAGGTCACAACATTTTGACAGGGGCTAGTCTAGGATTCGCGTGGCCAGACTGAAAAAAAAATAATAAAATAAAAATAAAAATAAATAAAATCATAATGCGTCTCTGGTATTGTTCAGGGGGCCGGGCCAAATGTGGAGGCGGGCCGTACCCGGCCCGCGGGCCTTAGTTTGGGGACCACTGCTATAGACTATCTGGATTTAGTTATTGCGTAATAATTATTGTGTTCCCACGAATTACTAATGCGTGGGAACGTAATAACTAATTCGTGGCCACGCATTATTAATATGTGGCCACGTATTAATATTTTTCTCACCAATGTCACCAGGGGGGCTCCGTACATTTGATAAGAAAATGCAAAAAAAATGAGGAACCACTGGACTAGAGTGCTGACGGAGAGCACCGGAACGCCGCTCCAGCTCTTCAAATATTGCAGTACCCATAAAGAGCCGTACACACCGCAGTGTTTGCGTGGCTGTGTCTTTAGTTGTAAGCACAGTGGCGATCTGTTGTTGTTAGCATCTGGTTAGCTAGCTATGCTAACACATTTAAAGAGCTTTTTGCAACCAGCTGGAAGAGAGCTCTCTCCTGAGAGGCTCAAATAACCTCAGCTCAGTGAGGTTAAGGCACACCTTGATATGATCATTATAGTTATTAATGAGACATTAGAGACTAAATGAAAAACAGGTATAAAATACTATATGACAGTAACAAAAAAGTTGTTAAAAATAACAAGAATAGAGTTTAAAAGGGGAGTGATTTGTAAAATATCCAAAAAGAAGAATCTGCTTACAGTTCTGTTTCATATGGGTGTTGAGAGATGTATCCATAGATCTCCTCATGTTGCTCTCAAAGTGCACCAGATTGATGCTTTTAACTTCAATATTTTAAAAAAAATCTTCCGGGGGGGGCATGCCCCCGGACCCCCCTAGAGGAGGTTAGGTCCCCCCCACTTAAATCATGTTCACATGGATAAGATACTAAATACATTTGCACACATCTTGTGTCCATATTTTTCTGTTTTGGTGGTCATGCCACACCGTGCACATGCATACGTGAGTCATGGTGAGATATCTGGATTAAGAGGTTGCTTTTTCTTTGCACAGCATGAAAGAAAGGCGAAATGAATGGGCTGTGATTTTAGTTTTTTTAAGCAAAGGTTGAGTTCAATAATTTGTACGACCCTCGGAGGATGTTGTAAAAATGTAAAGGAAAAAGGTTCCCCCACCCCTGCTGTAAATAATAATAAAAACCCTTGATTTATAACTTAACATCTCTGTCTCCTATTGATCTGAGTATATTATAAAGAATAGCAGTTAATTGAAGCATTATTATTATTATATCAGATGATATATTACGCTGTTTTTTTTCTGCTTCAAATAGTTATCTCTTTTTTCACCATACGTGTGTTTGCATCACTGTATATAACACTTTGTTTAATTTAATGTGTAGCCTAGTGCGTACTCTCAAATTTAGGAAATGACTTCCAGCAGCACTTATTGGTCATGCTGTTGTTGAGACGTTAATTTAAGTGTTGCCATAATCAAGAAACTTCTTACAAGTGTTTAATGACTCCTCCACAGCCTCCATCATAGAGAGCCTGTTCTCATCAACTCAGATACTAACATGTGTCCATCCGGGTCCAAAGGAAAACTCAAAGTGCATGTACTTCAGAAAGGTTAGAAGAATGGGGATAATGAAGGCAGGTTTTCACAGCTAGTGTGAAATTAAGTATGTAATGACCTTCAACTTTCTTCATTGGGGTTAGGGTTTGGTCATGGTTAAAGGTTTATGTAAGGGTAAAATCCTGGTCAAGCTTTGAAATGATGTTAACTGGATCCAATATCAAAGAAACACTCATTGTATGCACGGGTCAGCTGGTTGTCCACAACAGACGTTTGCTAGTCCGATCCCCAGGGCCTCCAGTCTGCTTGGGGAAGGGTCAACCCATTTGTCAAAAAACAATGACCATTAGATTAGATTTGAGGGCTTGTTTGGCAGCCGCTCCATCATTGTATAAATGTATGTGGGTAAAATGGACTGAACCCCTATAGATGCCCTCTGCTCCTAATACCAGGATGTGTTACATGCAGAGTCTATCACTTTGTTTTGTGTTGTGAACATTTATTATGATAAAAAAGTTGATTCAATTCAAATCCTCCGTTTCCAACGCAATACAAGTCCAATAACCATCTATTCAAACATTGTACAATAGTTTATGTCATTTCTTAGAGTATCTTCATCTGCAAAACTGAGCTAAAAGGTTATAATAAAAGTATTGAGATTGTGTCATAAAAAGGAGAAATCTGACGTGTCTTGTCATTGAATTCAAACAAATGACCTGTACTCATGTTCTTTTGTTTCTCTCAGTTCAGAGCAGATCAGAATGAAGTGCGCCATCTGACCTCGGGGAACTGGGAGGTGACCCGGATCATCGCCTACGATGAGAACACTGACAACCTGTGAGTATACAATTGTTTATCAGAGAAATACAAATGTAATCAATCAATCAATGTTTATTTATATAGCCCAATATCACAAATGTTACATTTGTCCAAATAGAGAGGGGGGGGGGCTGGGTGCTAGCGAACTGTCAACTGGGGGGGAGCCTCGCTGCGTGGAAACGGCGGACCACTGTCGGTGAATCGAGCCGGCCCTTGACGACCGGCTGTTCTGTGATTCTCCAGATTCTCCAGATGGCCAGTCCGGAGGGTGGAAAATACATACCGGAAGTAAAAAAAAGACGTGCAACGGGACGGTGTTCCCACGGGAAACACAACTTAAAATATGAAATGAAACAATCTCATCTCTTAAAATTCACAACTTATTATGAATTAAACATTCACAAACTTAGAATAATGTATTCACATGTTTAACTTACATATGCATGCAACGAACAGAAGAGCGTAGGGCAGAATTAGGAGGGAATTCCGTCTCGTAGCGTTTGTGCACTGTTTTGAAATCGACGATCGGGCTCGATATATGGTTAAATATAGCAGTAGACGATCGATTTTCATAGATGAGAGTAAGATCTACGTGACTTTATGGCCCCGCCCACTTTTGGGGGAAACAACGCTGTCATTTGAATGGCGATCGAGGCAGAGCTCTTCTGTTACTGTCCTTTCTTCTTAGAAGAAGTACAGAAACACTGAACTCTTGATTCTTTTTAATGTTTGAGGTGCAATAAACGACACAGCAGCTTTTTGGCATGTTAAAACTATTATGTTCCGCCTCGCTCATGAGAAATTACAGGCTCGCCTACTGATTTTAATTTAACCATATATCGAGACCGATTGTCGATTTCCAATGATCGATTGTAATTGTTTGCCTGACTGGCCATCGTAATCGAGCTCTTTGAAGATCCAAAAATCCACGGTTTTCAAAAAAATTTGATCGGATTGGCAAAAACTTCAGAATTTGTATTGACCGCCATTCAAATGACAGCGTTGTTTTCCCCCAAAAGTGGGCGGGGCCGTAATGTTTGCCCGGAAGTGACGTAGGTGTTACTCTCATCTATATTACCCTTCTTCGGTAAAGCCACGCTCGCATTGCAGATGAGACAGATGGACTTTGAATTGGAATAAACAAAAATAATCATCCTCCCACTCGGAGTGAAAATTATATATTTTGGGCTTTTTTGCTTCTGCCATAATTGCGGTCTTGTGTGTGTGCGGACTGTCATTCCTGTTGTCACGGACAATGTCAGCTAACTAGTGCCCACTGCCCACTGCCCACCAGCCATCGCGATCGACTGGTTGGGCAACCCTGCCTTAGACCCTCACATCGTACAAGGAAAAACTTCCCGAGAAAACCCACAGTTTAAAGGGAAAAATGGGAGAAACCTCAGGGAGAGCAACAGAGGAGGGATCCCTCTCCCAGGACGGACAGACGTGCAATAGATGCCGTGTGTAAATTGAAGAGATAATACATTTTACAGCATATAGACCGAATGTTAGGAAATGCATGTGTCTGTAATAAGAAGATGAATCCACAAGGATATCAGCAGTCCTGTGGAAGCCATCAGGGAAGCAGTATGATGAAAGCCAGGCAGGACCGCAGAGACAGGTTCAGCCACGACTCGAAGTCCAGGACTCAGATCAGGACCGCAGGATCATCCATGACTCCGGATCCCGGCGTATATAGACACCAAAAAGAAATAAATGTGGGGAAGCTGGGTTAATGGGAACATGAGAGTACACAGGTATAGACAGAGAGAAGGAAGAAGTAAGATGTCCCCCGACAAACTAAGCCTATATCAGCAAAACTAGGGGCTGAATCTAATCAGCCCTAACTTTAAGCTTTATCAAAAAGGAAGGTCTTAAGCGCACTCTTATCCATTAACTATGTCCTCTTAATATATTTCATTTGGTCTATCCACTGTCACATTTGAATACTCGTATTATTTTATCTTAACTTTAGATCCTACATGTGGTTTGAAATGTAGATGTATGAATTCAGCTTAAAGAAAGAGATATGAAGTTGTTGCTCTTGTTGTTTCCTCTCAACAGTTATTTTATCAGCACAGAGGGATCACCACGACGACGGCAGCTTTTCAGGTTTGTTTTGCAGTTATAACTGATGTACTTGATATTCACATTTGACATTTGTCATAAAATATCTTTGCAAGACTCCCACACGACTCATAGCAAACTGCTAATAAAATCACTGTATTCACTCCATGTCTGCTCTGCGTTTCTTTCTGATGACAAACACTTTATTTATAGTGAATATACCCACATTAAAGGATAATTTCCTATAACGAATATATCAGCTTAGCCAATTATCATTCTCTATGTATCCAACGCCTGATATATCTTATCTCCTGCGCCTCAGCGCCCACAGTCAATTATTTTCCAGATTATCTGTAAATTGTTTCGTCTATAAAAATGTTGGAAACAGTGACAACAGCAGCAACAGCAAATCCTCATATTGGAGAAGCTAGAACCTAAACACTTTTAGGATCATGTACTCTCAGTTGACTAACCACGTACACCACTCCTCATTGTTTCTACTCATACAGTTTTCTTTACATGCAATAGTTTGTCTTTGCCCTGAGCTTTATCCTGCAGCAGGTTGTAATACATTCAGCTGGATATGTTGTATTGCTGGTGTTGGACTCTTTATGGGATTGTGTGATAGTTATAAGAAGATAAAGTGCTGCTGACATTACCCTCAACCTTGACTCAAACAGTTGTTCTTTCCTCATGTGACCTCCTCTCCTCAGTGTGAAGACGGTGGGTCTGTTCCCACGCCGGTGTCTGACCTGCGAGCTGAACAAAGCTCACTGTCTGTACTTCGATTCTGACATCAGCCCCACCAACCAGCACATTATCCTGCGCTGTAAAGGTAGGCCAACACATGTTCATTTTTTATTAAAGGCTCTTCCAGTGTCTGCTCTTAAACTCCTGCTGAGGTTAGAGCATCTTTACCTTCCTCTTGGAGTCATATTTCATAATAAAATGGAATGCAACGGTCATGATCGAGGGAATTATTTAATATTGGTTCTGGAACGTGATGGATACCATCTAACTGTAGAGGACTCCCCACATCAGGCTTTACACATTGATACATACGATGAGTCATCCTTAAGTTTTTACGAAAGACTATCTCTGGAGGCTCTATTTGAAATGATTATCATGCACCATCTTTTAAATCCCCCAGTAAAACTACTTTTTTTTTGTTTTGCATTTGAGTAATCCTCATTTCTAACTTGTTAGGGATCATAACACTATCACTGTGGAATCAAGGTATTATATTGAAGCTGACTACCAGTAGGGGCGATTACTGCTTCCCAGAAAGGGCATGTTCTTTCTGCAGATAAAGAATAGAAATGACCGAGTGTTACCAGTGGTTACACTCTCATTGCATTATCTATCAAACAGATCATCTCAACACTGGAGTGTTCTAGACTTGAACAACCTCTGCTTTCACATATCTGGAAAATGAAGGCCATACATTCAAATGGTTTCAGGCAACAGATTCAAAACAGCTTGTAAATGATGGATGGTTCTGTGCTTAATGTTCCTCATTGTTTTCTTCCTGAGATCATGTGGCAGATGTCAGGGTTGGCCCGCGGGAATTATCTGTCATCCTCCAACTATTCTGTTTTAAATTCATCTCTCATCAGTTCCAAATGAGAGGCATTCAATTAAACAATTAGCTCCTATATTGTGTATAATTACTTTTCGGTGGAGTTATTGTGCGGCGAGCAGCTTATTTAATAGAGGGTAACTCTTTATATTGTTTGTGGTTTCAATTAATTTCGAGCAGATGAGTGCTTCATGCTCAGAAGCGTTTGGCTTAGTGATTTATTAGACAATAAAACGGTTCCCTTTTCCCAAAAGCTATAGAAATAATGGAGGAAGCTTGTTGTTTCCGAGGGCCGAGTTCACAGAACAACTTTGTCCTGACTCCCGTTTCATCAGGAGTAACACGAGCCTGTATTTCCACTCGTAAAACGTTTCTGATTGGTTTGCTACTATAGCAGCTACATAATGAAACCATTTATCTGTGTGTCATAAGAGAGAAGTGAGGAATGCAAAGGTCGAGGCTAATGCAGTAACAACAGTAAGTGCAAGAGCGGAAATAAAGCTACTTTCATAGTTTCAGTACAAAGAAAGTGTGTGTGCAGGAGGAATGTGTGTGTGTGTTAGGCTGCTGAGGGAGCTATTCAACACACCTGCCATCCTATTAACCTCTGACGAAGTATCATAAAAGGATGTTGAAAATAAGCGAGTCGATTTGACAGTCCGAGGCTGTCAGGGAGGCTCTGTGAGGGACCTCACATCACACAGGTTCTGTAGGGATCTGGACTTCCTGTGTTTGACTGTTGTGAGGCTGATTTAGAGGAGCAACCCTTTCACACAGACTAATACAATGCTGGAAGAACCAATGGTGATTTCAAATGTTCCATCATCTGCATATAGCACACACAATGTTCAATCGGATGATGTTTCAATTACACTCATGTTTTGTTCTTTTTCCTTTTCAGGTCCTGGAGCACCTACTGTGATCTTACACAGCCTCATTCATTCAAGTAAGCACTCGTAGGATCTATATTTCAGTTGTTAGAGACCTCTATTGGCGGTAGTAGTATAGACAGTGGTCTTAGGGAGAAGTTCAGATTGGACAAGCATTTCAATCATTATTTTAAAACAAAGATGTAATATTGCGATATTTGATGTTACATTCAATTCAATTCAATTCAAAACCTTTATTTATACAGATAAAACCCATTGAGATCATAGACCTCTTTTACAATGGTGACCTGCTTCAATTAGTTCCAAACATTAATACAAACATGACAGAAAACAAAGGACATTATATGATACTACAGTTTGTATACTAGTAGCATTTACAGACACCAATATTTTCTGATTGTATAGCGTCTATCCTAGCTTTAAAAACATGAAATGGAATTAAACTGCTTAGCTTCCATTCCTTTTGTAGACTGTTCCATGCTAGCGGCGCTGCGCATCTAAAAGCTGTATTTCCTAATACAGTCCTAGCAGTTGGCACATGTAATACAACCACAGCTTTAGATCTCAGGCAGTAGCCATTTACAATACGCTGTGAGATCAGGGAACAGATGTAAGACGGAAGTTTCCCTAACATTGCTTTATAAATAAAAAGATACCAGTGATTTAGCCGCCGTACAGTAAGTGAAAGCAACCCTGCCCTTGTATACAGGGTACAATGATGAGTCAAAGTCTTACAGTCTGTCACAAACCTTAGTGCACTATGATAGGCGGCATCTATCTTGGTGAGGTAATTGGCCGACGCATTCATATAAAATAGATCACCATAGTCCAGCACAGGTAAAAAGGTCACAGTGACTAGCCTTTTCCTGGCCTCAAGAGAGAAACAGGACTTGTTTCTATAAAAAAAACCTAGCCTAACCCTCAGTTTTTTAAGCAGGTGATTTACATGCAGTTTTAAAGAAAGACAGTCATCAAGCCAGATACCAAGGTATTTGTAAGAGGTTACCACTTCAAGTTTTTTTCCTTGCATGGTTACAATATCTAAAACAGGCTCTGGTGACTTTTTAGCTTTTGAAAAGAGCATTAACTTGGTTTTATCCACATTTAAAAGAAGCTTAAGCGCTGAGAGCTGAGTCTGAACAGTGTTAAAAACAGTCTGTAATTTAACAACAGCCTCCTTAACTGAGGTACCTGCACAATACATCACAGTATCATCCACATAAAAATGTAAGGTAGCTTCCTCCACATTATCACCCAAGCTATTAATATAAATGGAGAATAAAAGTGGACCTAGAACAGAACCCTGAGGTACACCATTAGAAATGCTCAACCACTCAGAAGTGAGCCCATCAAAGTGTACACATTGGGACCTTTCAGAGAGGTAGTTCATATCTACAGTATGTCACAATGTTAGCATGTACGTACCTACATTGATACGTAACCATGTCTCCTTATACGTGAGCTAGTTCCAAGCAGAATCTTTAACTAACCTAATGTTTATGTATGTTTATGCGTAAACATAAGAAGGTTTGGAAATCACCAAATACAGTATGGTATTTTGGATGAATTAGTTACATCTATATAAGTTTAGACCTACTCTGTCCTTTAAGTTATGTTTACATTCACCTATTCATGTTTGCTGTTGTGGCTTTAGGCGATCTTTAGGGAAAAGGAGGACTTATGATTTTACACAAATCTTTCAAATGTCTTAAGGTCTTGCTGAACGAATAACACAGAATCTGCAGAAAGACATCTTTTTGTGTAAGGGTGACTGTGCTCAGGTTGTTGAATAAGGTTTTGAAAATATAGTGATCACTTTTTCCCTGCAATTAAAACGTTGCATGTTCTGAATAATTTGAGTATAAACAGCTTTCTCCTGCTTTAAAACGGTCCGAATGAGCGTCATCTAACAAGAGGGCCAACAAGCCTGGATTACTTCCCTAGAATTCAGACACACCACTATACGCACATACACACATGGTTGCATTCACTCACAGCCACACACACACAGTAGTTCTTCATGTTATCCATGCCTGTAACCATAGCCCCCCCCCCCTACCAAAAGAGAAAGTTAACAGCTGTGCAATTTGCCCGAGGATATTTGGATAGGCCCTCCATCCACAGCTGGGACCTCCAGGCCTCTGGCGGCTTCATAATGAGCCGCCTATTGATTTTGGGTTTTCCATTAGAAGTGCTGGATGAATTCCATTTCATTTAGCTGCTTCTCAGATGGTTTGAATGGAGAATTGGCCGAACTGGGGAGTCATTGTTTATTACAGGTGGAGAACAAACTTGGGCTCTAGTGTTTGAGGCCAGATTGAGCAAGCTTTAAATGCCTTTAGAAATATAACCCTTTTGACTATAGTTATGTGCTCATACAAGTTTAACAACAGAACACATGACCATAATTATTACGATTGAACAACAAACGAAGCACAGCTTTTTTGACTATGTTACACAAATCCTCCTTTTTTTATTCAAAAGACACATACAACCTTTGTTAGGAACAAGGTGATTTACATGTGTATTTGGTTGTATATTTCATCCTCTTTCTTATCACATTTGAGTATTTCAAACGGTCTCCTTTATTTACAACAGCTAAACCCCCAAGAGATTAAATCCAGGAATGTATTCAGCGTCCCGAAACATTTACATTTACCACAAAATGAAGCGACGTCAGAAACGGTCCGTCGTACCTCCACCTCCCATTTCATCTCATTACACCTCTTGTTATTATGGGCCATTTGTATGCAGCGGCGCTTTGATTATTGGCAGCCATTTTAGGACTCCATCATCCTTTAAACACATCCCCCATCTTTACAGATTACTACATCCTGGAGAACAACTTGCTGCTGAAGGCCGCCCTGCAGTCCAAAAGGATCCAGATGACCGACTTCAGAACCGTGCAGATGGAACATTTTGGTGAGAAAATGTATTGGTTTATATTCCGTTTCTGTGATTTGAAGATGAATTTGTGATAGAATTTATTTTCTTTCTATTTTACAGATTTACCTTTAAAGATCTCCTATCCTCCAGACTTCTCTGAGTCCCGTCACTATGGCCTACTGCTGCTTATGTAAGTATCATCTGTAATGCCACAACGCACAAGATGTCAGAATCACATACTGAGGGATTATTTGAAGTTCTGACATTCATTCCTTGGTATACAAATCAATAGGGAACATTATCGTCTACTGCATGTGTAATGCTTATTCAAAATCTGAAACATTTAAAGCATTTTCTCTTATCAGTTCAGGGTAGCCTACTGTCTGAAGGATCACTTCCGGACGTTGTCTTGAACCTCAGTCTTCTCACTTTATTGTTTGGTTCAGTCATTTTGATGGAGTTTTTGGGTCGATGAAAGTTGTCCCTCACACTTCACACCTTTTTGCAGCAGGTGCATGGAAGCATCATCAACAGTAACACCACTCGCTTGGCGTAATTTCCCAGACAACAAGCCCCTCTACTCACACAATGGCTCCATTCAGCTCCAGCAGTTTGATTCTGCTGGATGCGATCCTATCCCTATGAGTCTTCTTCATCCTCTCATCCTGTGCCTCCACAGAGACAGCACCCCCGGTGGCCAGGCGGTGAGCGAGCGCTTCTCTCTGGGCTGGGACTCGGTGCTGGTCAGCTCAGACAGCGTCATCGTGGCCCGTCTGGACGGCCGGGGCAGCGGCTTCCAGGGTCAGAGGGTCCTGCACGAGGTCCACCAGAGGCTGGGGACTGTGGACGTCCAGGACCAGATCGCTGCAGTGGAGTACGTTATCAAATTCACTTCAGTCTTCTATAAATCCCTGTGTCATGTTCACATTTTGGACCCTTCGGTTCACATTTCACAATCAAAAGTGTTTTTTGTGGTAAAGTTGTAAGTTATGTAAGAATCCACACCCACCATGATCAAGACTTTGGCTGCATATGCGTGCTTATAAGCAACATTGAAATGAAACAATTTTTTTATTGAAATGTGATTCTCACTTTGGACAAATACTATTGTATCATTGTTATTTCAGAATTATTTTAAAAGGATGGACCATCTTTAAATATTCCATCATGCAAATCCCCTCTGGAACAATATTACAATGATCTCTTAATAGTAAAACACTTTGCACCTGATTGTTGTTCATACAACTTTTAGGAAGAACAATATGTAATCAGAAACTATATTTAACAAGTAAAACATGGTGGTTTCATGGCCTCCCTGTTGCAGCTGCTGCCTTCCTCTCCTCTGTTGTCAACAAACAAACTTGTGATTGAAATGGACACAGCTGTCATTTAGTACTTAGAGGTGGAACAAGAAACACAGCTGGCTGTGTGCAATCGCTCTTTTGCATCCAAACTGTCCGCACCCGTTGATGTGGTTTAGTACAACCTTTTCTATTTCTCTGATGTCTCTCATCTGCCAGCAGGAAATGTTCCTCTGTGCTACGGGCGACTTTACTTTAGCCTTTCACAGTAGGTGTATTTATAACCACATACAGGGTTATAAATACATGTGTTGATTGCCACACTCGAGATATTAATATATTTCACACAAAATATATAAAGGTATTTCACTTTTACCAATAGAACGTGAGTATTGTAGAGAGATATTAAAAGAATAGGAAGAATTAACTTTGCATTTTGACAATTTAGTTGAAATTAAATGAGATTTTTTCACAGCTCAACTGTATTGTTTTAAAGGGAACCTATCATGCAAAATGCACTTTTGTATGTCTTGTATACATACATATGTGTGTCAGGAGACTCAAGTGTCAAAAATAAAACCCTCTCTCTTTTCCTCCGTACCCAAATCAAAACAAAAATGTGGGCTGGCTTTACACCCACGGCCCTATCAGAAACGTCGCTGTATCAGAAACAATGCACGACGTGCTTTTGGACGTAATATGGTCTGTGTTTACATTAGCAAGCATCGCTAACACTCAGAGCTAACGCTGTACGGAGAGAGTAGGCCTATGTGTAAAGAAGCAGGAAATAAACTCACCTTTTGGTAAACCCGCGAAAAAAGCATTTGAGCTCCATACTGTTTCAGAAATAATGCTTGATGTGTTTGGAACATGATATGGCGTTTCATCACGGCAGTGTTTAGCTTTATCTCCGGTAGAATTAAGGTCTCCTCCCCCTCTTTTTCAAGCTAAGGACCCCAAACCTGCAGGGCTGAAATAGAGGGGTATGAGGGATGTCTAAATGCATGATCTGTTTGGTATTTTGAGCAAAACACATCATAGAAATATTTTGTACACATTTGTACCCATAATATATGACTACATTGTGCATAATAGGAGCCTGTTTCTCGGCTCATGCCTGTCTCTCATAGCACACTGTGTTTATGAGATGTGAACAATGGAGCAGGTGAGGTGAAACCCAGCCTGTGGTTGAAATAAAAGTGCTCTAGTACAGTGAGTCACTTCAGAAATTGTGTCTTGAATGTTTCACTTCCAGCAAAGATACTTTTTACTCACAAATTGTCTCTTTAGAGTCCACCATCTGTTTCTCACCTCAAGCTACAGCTCACAGCGGCTCCAGAGAGATTAAGAAAACTTAATTTAAAATCACTCTTATCAAAATACATTTACTCATTACCTTGCATTAATTAGCTAAACGTAATGCTATGCCTAAAGGTGCCCAACCATATCAATCTAATATTATGTTCCAACCAGGTTGTTTGAACACAAGCCACTCCGTCTCCATGATTCCAGCAGATGATGACATACAATTCTAAGTATACCATAAATCTGTTGTAATGATTGATCATGTCCAATTCTTCCATGTGCAGTGAGTTTCATATGGTCTTAATGTGTTCTAATGTATATGGCATGTGGCTTTTTCTTCCAGATTCATGATGACATTTCCATATATTGATCGAACACGGATAGCAGTGTTTGGAAAGGTGAGCCGTGTTCTGCTCTCAACTCATTTTACATGTAATTATAGTCTATTTTTGCCAGCAGCAAAGGATGTGCTGCTGCTGAGCAAAATCCATACACAGTGTATAAATCAATGTTGTTCAGGAAAAGTGTAATGTTTTGTTTTACATTCCACTATATTATAAGTGCCCTGCTTTAACGTGCTAACATGTTTTGTTGTTTAATTTTTAGGGAAATAGAGTTTGTTTTTACAGCTTGAATGATTTCCCCTCAAAGTAACATTAATGTTTATGTGTGTGTGCTCAGGGTTATGGAGCGTACATAACATTAATGATGCTCAAGTCCACGGACAGCCTCTTCAAATGTGCATGTGCGATGTCTCCGGTGACGGACTGGAAACTCTACGGTGAGTACAGACCTCCACCCCTGCATCAGGATGGAGGATTTAACACCTGGCAGGCCAACAAGTATTCAGCTACAAAACACTGATACCGTAGATGCTAAATCATAAGAAACAAAACATTACATTTAACTAAAACGGCTGCCCCCGCAGGCACCAGTACGCAGATCTTACTCAGGAAAATAGTGAATATCAAGGCAAGAACGTTGCTTTGTGCTTTTATTTCTTAGAAATATGGAGAACAATGGTTTCCCCTGTATAGACCACCTGTCTCCAATGTAAACATGATCGCCAGGTGTCTACATTACCCAGTGCCCAAAACTGCCTTCACAATAAAAGCACAAATAATTACTTTAATTAACTAAAAATAATTACACTAAATAATAACAAATTAACTATAAACAAAAACAAAACATGGTTCATTATTAAATCAATAAACAGCTCTAACAGATACAATCACTGTGAAGAGTGAAACTAATCATTGTACACATGGCATCCTCTCAGAGGAACCATTACTGATTAGAATATAAAACCATTTATGTACCAAGTCCCCTCTCCTAGGTGGCAGATCAACCCAGTCTCATTGCATTTCGTGTTCACCAACACGATTACCCTCTTTTTTTCGTGTTGCACAGCACGATTTTAAAAGCAATGTATTTCTACTGGTAATGTGTTTCGTGCCTGCAGCACGTCTTTTTCTCCGGTCGGGTCGTGGAAGACCGGAAGCTGTGTGGTTCATAAAAACATGTTCTTACTCAATATCAAGCCACAATTATTGCTTTTATTTTAAATCGTATAATTTCGGACTTTTGTTGTCGTCTGTGAGGAAAATAAATGGGGCTCAGAGCCTCAGGATACTGAAATCTGTATTTTTAAATCTTTTTTTCCTTCTAATGTGTTATTCTTTTCAAAATAACACACTGTTATTTACTCACCAATAACACACAATTATCCTTGCTTTTATTTATTGGTTTAATTCCATAATCTCTGGCTTTTTTGGCGTCCGTCAGGAACTGAATTTCAAAATAAAAATAACCGGAAACAGACGTAGGCATTTCGAGCGATTACCCAAGAACCTCAGCTATGGTTTAAGCTCGCTGATTGGATGTTTTAGCCGCAATGCATGCTGGGATTTGGTGTTTATATGATATGAAATCCAGAAAACATTTTAAAAGAATAAAATAATACTTAATTCCGAGTGTTCTTGCTTTTCTCTTTGAAAGTCATCACATAACGGCATTGTAATACACGGTTCGGCTGCATTACATATTACAGATCTGCCGTAGTTCTTTATTTATAGAGCCCTGATGAGAAGACCTTTGGGAAAACTGAAGAAATGCCGCAGAAACTGAATATGTGACGTGGATCATAAATATATCAACAATTAAACAACATCTTCAATTTCTCTTCACACAATACGTCTCCTTGCAGTATCAACACTAATTCGGCTGACTTTTACATTTGATCTAATTCATAGATCGGTTATATTTACACCATAACGGTGCACAGCTGATATAAAAGGACTTGTAGTTTTTAAAGATATTACTGATTTTCTTTGAATATAAGAATGTAAATACTGAGTCTGAAATAGTATAGCAATATGCTGTAACATTATGTGAAAGCATGAATAAAACTACACATCTTCAGATGTTGTACATACATAAGTGTCCTACACTAATAATACCAAGTTATTATGGCTGTGTGTACCTTGTGTGCACCGCCTAGTAGTTAAAGCACGTTATTTATTATTGTTTTTATGTGTTATGTTTGATTAAAAAAATATTAAGAGTACATACTTTCATAGGGGGAAAGTAGAAGGTCTGTGATATAAATATATAATATAAAAAATCAAGAAGATACTATAAGTGATCTCTACAATAAAACAGTTTAGTGCAGGATGTACAAAGATATTAATATGAGGAGGTGCAAAACAGAAAAACGAATTAACCTTTATTTAAACATTAAATAACACTTTAGATTAAGGTCTTCTTTTAAATAAGAAAAAAACTTTGGGGGTATCTATCTACAGATAAATATTAAGCCTGACAAAGTACTTAACGTCTAATATATTGCTTTCCTGCAATGTTAACTATGTTGAAGCACTTATTTTAACTGATATTATACACATTAATTATACTCTTATGTATGTAGATAGAATAAGAAATGTGCAGAATATGACAGTTTAATGGTGGAGGTACACACATATTGATAGATGTCTTGTAATGCACTGAGAAACCTAAGACCCAAGTTTTTCATAATTTCATAACTACACCGTAGTTGTGTGTATGATATGTCAATAAACCTTTGAAAATCTTGAAATCTTGAAAGGGATGTGCAAAATAGCCATTTTATACAGTCTGTAATTAACTATTAGTAGAGAATAACGAATAATGAATATACTTTATTACTCGTTTCCATTCATGTCAATTGCAGATAAATGTTTAGTCTTCTCAAGCATCCATCCATCCATCTTCTCCCGCTTATCCGTGGTCGGGTCGCGGGGGTAGCAGTTCCAGCAGAGAGCCCCAAACTTTATTTTCCCTGGCGACATCAACCAGCTCTGACTGGGGGATCCCAAGGCGCTCCCAGGCCAGCGAAGAGATATAATCCCTCCACCTGGTCCTAGGTCTACCCCTTGGTCTCTTCCCAGCTGGACGTGCCTGGAACACATCCCTAGGGAGGCGCCCAGGTGGCATCCTAACTAGGTGCCCGAACCACCTCAACTGGCTCCTTTCGACGCGCCAACTATCAAATATCTCTCCTGATTGTTGGCACTTGACAATCACCTTACCTGAATTTTACTCAGGTGTAACTAAAGTCTGATTTAAGGGTTGTTTATATTTCACATAATTAATCAGAATCTGCAAAGTAACTCAAATAAATGCAGTGGAGTAAAAATACCAGGTTAACCTCTGAATTGTAGTGGAGTAGAATTACAAAGTAACAATGAGCTGTCATGTGGGTATTAATGCTGCGCATTATGGACACAAGCGATTTTCACCCATTTATTAATTATATGTTTTACATTTGATAACACCAATGTGTTTAATACTGGCAACTTCTAATTGTGGGAAAAACGAAAATGTTCAGTAGAGACGTCCCATAGAACATTTTGCGAAACACAATAGCCAGCATGTGTAGTTCTGGGGGGCGTTCGATTCCAGTTTTGGATAGTCTGCGTGATTTCGTTCCATTTCAAACAGCTGTTTGACGCTCGGCGTAACCATGGCGCACTGCCACTCCAACATCCAATCCCAGAGCTTGAAGATTAATCACGGGGACTGTAGTCCTAAATTATAGCTGGGGATTATGGGTAGTGTAGAGTCTTCGGCCATCCTTAGGTCCTACGTCTGTTTCCGGTTATTTTTATTTTGAAATTCAGTTCCTGACGGACGCCAAAAAAGCCAGAGATTATGGAATTAAACAAATAAATAAAAACAAGGATAATTGTGTTATTGGTGAGTAAATAACAGTGTGTTATTTTGAAAAGAATAACAAATTAGAAGGAAAAAAAGATTTTAAAAAATACAGATTTCAGTATTCTGAGGCTCTGAGCTATTTATTTTCCTCACAGACGACAAAAAAAGTCTGAAATTATACGATTTAAAATAAAAGCAATAGTTGTGGCTTGATATTGAGTAAGAACATGTTTTTATGAACCACACAGCTTCCGGTCTTCCACGACCCAACCGGACAAAAAGACGTGCTGCAGGCACGAAACATACTACCAGTAGAAATACATTGCTTTTAAAATCGTTCTGTTCAACATGAAAAAAAGGGAAAATCGTGTTGGTGAACACGAAAAGCCAAGAGACTGGGTTGGTCAGATCGATCCAAAAACAGTTCACAAATTATATTTGATTATTGTCTTTGTACTCATTTGTCATTTTAACATGTGGAGAGATGAAGCAGGTATCTCAGGAATAACTCATTGTATGTCCACTGCTGAGGACACCACCACCACATTATCAAATGTGATTCAATGGAACTAAGTACATCTTAAATAACAGATTTCCAGAAATGTAAAAAAATGTGTGTTATTTTGGATGTGTTGGGTAACTTGAATAACCTTTATACTGTTAATGCATGGTGTCTACTGCAACTACAACATTTCACTTACAAGTAGAAAAATAGAATGTATGATACTCTGTGATTACCTCTCAGTGAGGGGAATCTCTCGTTAGTAACACAAACACAACACATGGCAGCATGTATTTACAGTCTTTTGATGCCACAGTGGACCCTTTATTCTGCACAAGATGTTTTCCCTCTCCACTGGAAGCTTCCTGTGATCTGAGGCTGACAGGAAGTCCTCTGTGTAGTCACTCAGCTGGAGCTGTGTCCCCTCTGTTAACACATATCACTTCTCATTTGCACAGCATCAGCGTTCTCTGAGAGATACCTGGGCATGCCATTACGGGATGACAGCAGATATCAGGTGCGTGTTTACTTCCTCCCTCATTTGTTTGAAAGCGGCTTGCTGAAACATCCCTGACACACCTTCAGCTCATCTGATCCTGAACGCTGCTATCAGAGCAGCGAGGCTTCACCCTCTGTTTCATTCACGCTCTGGTAGGATTTTTGTCGCTCATTTCTCTTTGGAAACGGCACCAGTGTGTCAGAACACAGGCCGAGGTGTTTTCTCTTTTGTAAGCTGCTGCAAAAGGGTTGCCTGCCTCTCCTTCAGGATCCCGCAGAAAGATGTTCTGCTATCAGAGGGGTTTCCACAGCGATAGAGAACAGGCGGATGTTTTGTGAGCACATTGTTAACAACCAGACAACAAATCTGTAATTCACTGCTGTCAGCAAACATGCATTTATACAGTATGTCTGCACTATTGTTATAATATCTGTTATCTCTCAACTTGTATAGACGGTGCAGGACAGGGGAGTAATGGAATCATGTGACAGGGTGACATCAGGAAACAGAAGAAGAGTTAACTCTAAATCCTTACAGTAACATAACTAAAACACTTTTCTAGTTTACCGTCACATTTCTGTTTTATAAATTGGGATTTCTGGCAGGATAACAATTTGTACAATTCATTTTAAAATAAAGAACGACATAATAGGAGGGTTACTTTCAATTTGTTTTCGATTACAATAGCTACCTTTACCAAATGTAATCAGTAACCGAATCTGAGTATCAACATTTAAAAGTAATGTTACCTGATTACTTTCTGTTACTTTTGGATTACCTTAATATCAAATTAATAAAAGATAAAAATCAATAAGAGGTGTTTTTAATTAAGGGTATTATGTAAGACAACAGAGACATGTTACTTCTGCACAGAGATTTTAATACAAACACAATATGCTCTTTTTTACTTTGTGAGGAACATTGTAATCCTGCTAGTAATCCATATACATAATAGTAATCTGATTACAACATGTATCATTTGCCCTGTTCATGCTCAGCTCTGAATATATTTCACACATCCCTCAACTTTAAAATATAATAATAGTTTGTCATATACAGTACAGTCGTTCATTGTCCTAAGACTTTTCGTTGTTGAGGTTCTTTTGTATATTTCAATTTAAATGTTCTTCTTTAATGCTGAATAGTTTCTTTAAAATATTTTATTTTTCTCATGCTTATATTTTTGTACCTACTCTTACAACTTATTTTCCTAGATTGTTAATCTTCCAACCATCAGACACCAAAGCAAATCCCTTGTGTAAACGTACCTGGGAATAAACCTGATTCTAATTACATATGTTTTATGTAACTGTAAGGGACTCCATGTTTTAGTATCCGGATTACGTAATCCTGTTACATATAATCCGTAACTCCCCAAGCCTGATCATGTTGAACATGCTTTCACATTACAGCACTGCATGGGTCTCAAGGGAAACTGAAGCTAATCTTCCAGTTAAGAATAAGTTCTGTATAGTTCAGAAAATGTTTGCACTCCTTGTAAAAATGTTATATTAAAAGCAGAAAAGGGAAACAGCATTACGGTTCAGTGCGAGCTGTGCCATCCAGCTGTTATTATGGCATCTTAACCCTCATGTTGTGTTCGGGTCAAATCTGACCGATTTACTACTTTCATCAATCATAACTTTTTTGTTTTACATTCGATTGCATTAAGGCTTTATGATATCCTTCACAGGTCTCACTAAAAAATCTATTAGGAAGCTGCAGCTGATTCAGAACGCCGCTGCTCGAGTCCTCACTGACACTAAGAAAGTGGATCACATCACTCCTGTTCTGAAGTCTTTACACTGGCTTCCTGTGTGTCAAAGAATAGATTTCAAAATACTGCTGCTGGTTTATAAAGCACTGAATGGTTTAGGCCCAAAATACATTTCTGACCTCCTGCTAAATTATGAACCATCCAGATCTCTCAGGTCTTCAGGGACTGGTCAGCTTTTTCCCCAGAGTCAGAACTAAACATGGAGAAGCAGCGTTCAGTTATTATGCTCCAAATATCTGGAACAAACTCCCAGAAACCTGCAGGTCCGCTGCAACTCTGACTACTTTTAAATCCAGGCTGAAGACTTTTCTTTTTGTCGCTGCTTTTAATTGAACTATTCATATCTTAGACTGCACTGTAACTTTTATCCATGTACTTTTTTCTTTTAATGTTTAATTGACAGCACTGTAACTTGTATCCATGTATTTTTTCTTTTAATGTTTATTTTATTAGCTTTTCTTTTTAATGACTGATTTTAAATGCCATTTTCTTAATGTCTTTCATTTTTTGTAAAGCACTTTGAATTGCCTTGTGTTGAAAAGTGCTATATAAATAAACTTGTCTTGCCTTCACAGGAGACATTTGAACATATACAATTGCTGATCACACTTTCATTGCATTTTGGATGATTTAGTCAACTTTGAAACACCATGGTGTTCCCGGTCACACACACACACACACACACACACACACACACACACACACACACACACACACACACACACACACACACACACACACACACACACACACACACACACACACACACACACACACACACACACACACACACACACACACACACACACACACACACACACACACACACACACACACACACACACACACACACACACACACACACACACACACACACACACACACACACACACACACACACACACACACACACACACACACACACACACACACACACACACACACACACACACACACAGATGTGTTCCCCCCCTCTTATGTGCCCCTCCCCCCACATGGATCACACCAATACATGTTCAGTGTCTGTTCTTTGTATATGTACTGCAGTTGTTCATGTGTACCAGTAGTCTGATACAATACTTACAGTTTGAAAGGGTGTTAAATGAAATGTGGTGATGATGAATGGTTTTTGTGTTCATGTAATAGCAGTTAAAACAGGACCCGTCACATTTGACCGGGAACACCAAAGCAAGGGGGGGGGATATAAGCATTTATATCCCAACTGCTTTGTACACACTATTGTTATCCACCTGAATTCACTCTTTGGTTTTCATTTAGGCTACTTTCATTCTTCTTCTTTATTAAATTGATGTATACAGTACAGTAAACAAAACTACTTTCTATGTTGGATAAGTTTAACATTTATCTTCTCTTTTTTTCACAAGTAATAAGGATAGATTGCTTTTTTGAGATATTCGATCATGTTACTGATTATATTTTGTACTGGTAACAAGTCATTGTAACAGAATACTATTAAAGTAACCCTCCCATCCCTGAGACCGTAATATTACATGCAAAGAAGAATACTAAATGTTTGAATGGTAGATTCTTAATCCCTAAAATGTCTGTAATTGGGTTAAAACACTGGGTTAGGGTTAGGGGCCTGTAATCAGTGTATAATGGAATGTACCGCATGTCTTTCATCGGATCGTACTCCTTTCTTTTTATTGCTTTCCTTAATGGCAGTTAGCATATCTATCAATCTATTATCTCACCACTTTTTCTGATCCGCAGTTTTCCAGCGTGCTGCAGAGTGTCCAGGCGCTGAAAGAGCAGACGCTGATGCTGGTGCACGGCACAGCAGATGGTGAGAGGAAATAAATTGTGATTGAATGGAAACACTGCATCTGTGGTGCATCACTGCTGAGCACAAAGAAGCATGCAATCCTGCAACCTAATTAGCCAAATGTGTTTTAATCAAAAGATAAAAGGGAAAGTGGGTTATCTAAATTGATGCTGCGATTTCCAGAGACACACACTCACTGGTGAATCATGCATGTCGGATTTGTTGAGGACTTTCCATCCTGCAACAATCTGATTGTGTCTTCTCTCTCTCAGTTAGTATTCACACTGAATCCTGCTGACATCTTTCGTTTTTTCATTCCCAGCAAACATTCACTTCCAGCATACTGCTGAGCTCGTCAAGAACCTGGTGAAAGTTGGAGCAAACTACTCAATGCAGGTGTGTATCACCAGGCACATTCTGAACACTGTATTTAGTACAATGGTGGTCAAAATGCACATTTTCTATGTTGCTCAACGTAGAAAATATTGTACTGTTGTACTGGAGCCATTTTGGCTTGCTGAGCAGCTCTCACAGGAATGAAGAGGGCTGCCTCCAGCACTGCTTCCAGTTCTCTCGATACATCTGTCTACCCCTTACCCATCGCCGTTATTCCCCGGGTTGACTTTGTATGTCGATAAACCTCTGGGCACTAATTGACTCTACTTTAATCAAGTTTAATCCCACAGGCCATCAGACTGCTATTAAGGCATTAGCCTGAGCTCTGTGAAGGGCCTTCAGAACCTAAAGCAGCCATCTGTTTACAACAAACTGTACTTTATTTCACTGTACAGTATCTCATGTTACTGTCTGTTAATGCTTATCCTATTTTGTTTACATATATACTCCTGCATTTACCATTTGTTTTCATTAATCAGCACGTTGATCCTGCACAATGTTTTACTACTCTGTTTCTTGGTGCTCTATTTGTATTGTTTGTTGTTAGTTTTATTGTTATATGTCTTATATATTTATGTTGCATTGTTGGAGGCCTAGGACTTAAGATTGTCCTTGTCCACACTGTAGCTACTGTGCATATGATAATAAAGCCTTTTGAACATTTGAAAATGTAAAACGCCTCCCTCCTCCCCACAGATCTACCCCGATGAGGGCCACTTCCTGTCCCAGCAGAGTCGCGTGCACCTATACGCCACGCTGACCAGCTTCTACAGGGAGTGTCTGAAGGAGGAGCTCCTACCGCTGCCCGATGACGAAGAGGAGGAGGAGGAGGAGTAGGGGGAGGCTTTGAGGGTCGGACCTTTGGCAGAGCTTGAAGGATTTTGCAAAAATCTGTCAAGGCCTTATTGGACCAAGTGTTTAGCGTGACATGGACATTGGGTTAGCGCTGCTAATGCTCCTAAAGTGTGTGTGCGGCTGTGTGTGTGTGAGCACTCCAGTGTGTGACTGTGTACGTGTAAATGTGTTGAAAAGATAACTGAAGGACACAACAGTGACACTTGCGTTGAGGCGGGAACTGGCCTCCAGTCGTCTCCATTTTTGGACGCTTCGTTTCTTGGCAAAGCGCACAGAAGAGATCCTCCATGTTTCGTCTTCATCCACAGTGCATGGTTCTTTTCCCCCTCACACATCTCGACATGTTAGTCCCCATGGTGGTAACTCTTGCAGAGGAAGAACACAGCTGTGCACTTTGAACTCACCTCTCCTTTGGTTGATGAAATGTTGCACAGATAAAGAGGAAATGTTTAGTCACTCAAGTTCACCACAACAGAGCCCATCCTGAATAAGAGCTACTTCCTGCTGAAACCCCCCCCATCGCCCACCCTTAATATAAACAAGTGTGTATAGGTCACACTTTATTGTACAGGGGTCTTGAGTAGACATGTACAATGCCTTATGAGGTTCAACATACTGTAATATTACTTGCTGGCAGTGGTAGTCATACATTAGCAGTGTCATGCTAACCTTGGTCAACTCAGGTCCTCGAGACATGACTCCATCATCAGTTTAGCATCAGCTACGACACTATAGCAGCTGGACGCTTAGGAACAAGTGATGCATACCACGGTATGAAGATTACTGAAATGTGGTTTACACTTAAAGGGATAGCTTATATGTTTTGACATGCGCTTCTATGCGTTACTTATCTCCAGTGGTGGAAAATAACTGAGAATATTATTAAGTACATTACATTTAGTATTGTTTTTATGTAATGTTTTTACATATTTATAATTACTTGAGTTTTTCCATGTAATGCTAATGTGTAGTTCTACTTCTGTACATTTCATAGGCACATGGAGTACTTTTAATCCACTCTATTTATTTGAACACTCAGTTACTTTGTACACATGTAATGATATAATGATTGTATAATGCAGTACTGTACTACTTAAAGTATTTAAATTTGGTCAACACCAACTAAAATATAAAAATGCTCTCACATGTATAGAAACAGGATAAAATAATAACTATGATGATATAATACTGTAACAAATATCCATTCTGCACAACAAATACTTTTACTGTTGATACTCACTTAAACATCGTTTTAAAATCAGGACTCTTACTTGTAGTGGAGTATTTTGAGACCAATGATTTGTACTTCTACTTGAGTAAAGGATGTGAGTACTTCTTGCAGCACTGCTTTTCTTAGTCAGAGTGCTAGGTTCAGGAACACACAGGATAACTAGCAGGAAGCTGGGGAATGTATTGTTTTGGACAAGGGACACAGCCAATCATATTTAAGACCCCTATAAGAAGGCCCATCCAGAACACCTACCCCCAGCTCTACCCTCCACAGAGCTACAGAACATATATTGTATTCCAGGAGCTGCTATTGAATCTCTGCTTGGATTGGTTACTTTATTTTTGATGTTGTGAAACTTTGGTGACTCCATCAAACAGAAACCTAAAGTAACTAACAGACCAATGACATAGCAGCAACCCCCAGGGTCTGCAGGGTTAATGACTGCTTTACAATGGAGTCTGGTGACAGTTCAACAGAGGGGGGGGAAGTACTGGTACTTTAGTACAAGTAGAACTACCAAAGTGTAAGAATACTATGTTATAAGTAAGAGTCCTGCATTCAAAATGTTACTCTATTCAAATTAGAAAAGTATTAGCATCAAAACATACTTGTAAGTATAAGTACTCATTATGCACATTGGTAAATGTCAGAATCATGTATATATTTTAAATGTTGATAAGGCAGAGCTAGTTTGAATGACTTTGTTTGCTGAAGGATAGACTGTGATACTGAACAAATGCTGTCTTTAATTAAATGTATTATGTAAACACTTTACACATCATGTGTGTGTATACGTTTAGTTGAAAGCAATAGTATTAAGTTAAAATATGTTTTATTTAAACATATTAGTTTTGGTTTCAACTAACCTAAAACACTTAGGTGTCATTTGTTGACATCATACATTTAATTAAATTTCATTGTTGTCAGTGAATTTACTCCAGGTGGAACTAAAGTCTGATTCAACACTCAACACTAAAGTAACTAAAGGTATCAACTACAGTGGCGAGCCGTGACTTTTATACCTGGGCCCTCTGACCCCCCTTCCCTCGAAAAAAATGAAGAGATATTACAGCGTAGACTTCAGCGGAATATCTAAACAGCGGCCCGGGGTGCAAAACGCATCAATGACAGCGACCCTCTACCACACAAAACAACACCATTTATATAAACACCTATCATGACAGGGCACCCACAGCCAAGTAACAATTACAAATGAATTAAGTCGGCACGGCGGCCCACATTGAAAATGACTTAGGCCTACCTTTGATGATCAAATCACTTAAACACAAAGTCCATCCTCCTGTCCTTTTGGATGAAGCACTTGCGGGTCATTCAGCTGATCCTTTGCCACTCCAGTTTATCATTGTAACTCAATCTTGAAAATGACTCGGTTAATAATTTCGCAACGATGTCATCACTATCACTGAAGTGAGCCATCATGAACGAACTTATGCTAATTATAAATATATCGATCATAAATCTATCGTTTAGATTTATGATTCGAAAATAATAAAAGTAGGGTAGACATGTGGATATTATCCGGCTGAACAAAACGTGCATTTATCTAACAGGTTCGTTTTCCACAGACCTTATTTCGAGCTATTTTCCAAAATCCTATGGAGAAATCTCACTGCTTTCTGTCGAGGGAATCCGAGCGAAGCTTACTTCTGGGTTATAGGACGCGTCACTGCACCACTTGCATAGACCTCACAGCGGGCGGAACTTGTCATAAAGTCCGCGAAAATAAAGCCCGCCCATTTAGAGGGAGATATGATTGGTCAATTGTACTGTCATTTGACATTACTCTCTCGTTGAGTTACTATTGCGGGCCCTCTGTGAATGTAGAGAGGGACCAACAAACTGAAACTGAACAGGCAGATTCGAAGGATTTATTTCTTTGGAAATATTATTTTAATTACAAATAAATCAAGTTATTTTGGTAAAACTAATGAAAAATGTAACAACAAAAAAAAATATTTTTTTTAATGTTTTCAAATATTATTTTTTAGAATATCTTAGGCCCTCTGTGAGGGCCTAGAGGGCCCTGACGGCTCGCCACTGATCACATAAATGTTGTGGAGTAAAAGTACTCTCTTTACCTCTGAATTGTAGTGAAGTAGAAGTACAAAAAAGCAAAACAAATTGGAATACTCAAGTAAAGTACAAGCATCTCAAAATTGTACTTAAGTACAGCACTTAGTTACTTTACACCACTGGATTTCAAAGAGCCAAACGGTGAAGCGATACAAGTATTCAAAACATTGTAGGTGGGCCTTTCTTCAGGCGTCCAGAATGAGTTGTGCTGCTGATCCTGGGTCAGCCTTTGGCTTGTTGACCTTCATCACCTGTAGCTTGTGTTTTGACTTTATAAGGACGTCACACAGAATCTAGAACTATCCCTTTGGATCTTGTATGAGATGTTTTGGCTGTGGCTCCACCTGACTCAGCAGCTGTCTGAAGTCAGGAGACATGTTCCTTATTTCTGGAAATGCTCTTATTTAAGAAAAGAATACTTACCTGCAGCGGATAATAATGCTGACTCAGATCGGACAGTTTCACAGTGTCAGTAAGGTGTTTGCATGTATACAGGGAAGGTGTCAAGTGTTTTGTACAGTACAATACAGCAGAGTGTGTACATAAATATATTTTTGAGATGTCACATCTCATAGATAGTTTAGTCTATTGGGACGGATTGATTTGACCTGGATGTCTTGTACTCTTTCTTTCTGTTTTCCTTTCAGCTGATGTTCTTCTTAGGATGGATTTTGTAATGCTTGTACTTGTTCTTTTTGCTGTTTTAAAAGGGAAAGGGCAGGGTTGAGCTTTTGGGGTTATTGTGATTGTCCTCTAGTGATGATTATGAATAAAAAAAGACTGAAAAACAATGAGTCATGCTGATAAATAGAGCACTCAGAGAACCAAATCAGCCACATTTGTTTGTATTGATTGTTTGAGATTTCAATGTAACGTTTCATTTGTTTCTTCACCTTGGGACTCACGATAAAGAGTGCAGGTAGTCTGTCATGGCCGCAGCACACCCTCATGAAAGAGTTAACAGGAAACATGCCATGAACAATGTCAGAGTGCATAAAGCAGTGCCTGCAGTCCTGAATGTGTGAGCGGATGTTCACTCTGCTGGGGAGAGAAACTCTTACCTCTGCAGCATCGGAATCATTTGACATGCTGTCTTTACTTAAACACATGTTGTTGTATGAAAAGGAATAGTTTAGTGTTTGAAGTGGGATTATATGAGGTGTACCTACAGTGGATGACAGGAGAACTACACGGAAGATAAGTAATGCACTGCTGTGGACGGATGCACCAGCAAAACCTTTATTATACACCTAAGAAATGACCGCTTAAAAACATTTGAACCGCCTAACTTTGGTGTGAGACAGCCCTTTACATGGGGGACTAAACGCTTTATATTCCCAGAGCCAAGATCCTTAGTCTCCACTGTAAAACACTGACATGTTACCGTCCTCCTACTTGTTTGTGTTTGGGCAATTGTGTGACCTTGGTTATTTCAAAATAACTGTTTTTGTCAAGGGATTCAGTTTGCTTTGGAAAGAGCATAGAAAAGGACAGCTGGAAACATGGAAGGGTAAAGTGAGGTAAATAGTGTAAGGAAAGTGCACCTTGAAAGATAATGATAAACTTAGGTTTCCAAAACATGTGTAGCTGATCCCTGGAGAAGGAGCTCTTTCAAACCAACAACTTCCAAAACGATCCCTTTAGGTTTTATGGCTGTGTATTCGTCATTGATACAGTCCTGTTCAACCTGTAGTGTACTCCACTTCTGACTACGCAAATAAACGTAACACACAACAACTCTGTATACAAGAAAACAAATTGAGCTTAATAAAGTGGAGCGAACTAAAACAGATAAGACACACTTTACCTTATATTATGGGTGGGGGTATTGATGAGATATGCTTTTGTTCTTTTTAATCAGAATGTTTTCCCGATTGAGTCAAAACTGGCCTACTGTTGAAAACGGTTACCTCATCTTACTTTATGTTTCAGCTAAACTAATCAACTCACAGTCACTGCGAGAACATTGAATAGGGCAATGCACTCCCATCAGAGAGCCACTCTGTATGAAGACTGAGATACCTGCTCAAATGGAAGGATAAACATCCATTTCATATCTGTGTGTCGATCACACAGCTGGAGATGTGCTGATCTTAGTCAACACCGACACGAGAGAGTTTTAAAGGAGACAATATGACATGATGTCACCATGGGGTGTCATAGCTAAAGACTACATTTTGATTCTACTTCCCTGTTATGTAAATATTGTTGTCTCCTTTAGTTATCCCTTCAGTTAACTTTCTCTTTATTTAAATATGTTTAGGACTCAGCAGTGGTGGAAAAGTACTCAGATTCTTTACTTGATAAAAGTACTAATACCACATTGTAAAAATCAAATCAAAATGAATGTACGAAATTGGCTTGCAAAATGTAGTAAAGTAGAAGTATAAAGTAGTATAAAAGGAAAATACTCTGGTTAAGGACAAGTACCCTAAATGTGTACTTAAATGCACTACTTTAGTTAATGTACTTAGTTACTTTTCACCACTCGGACTCAGCCTATTTGTGCCTTCTTGAGATCCATGTTTTTAGGTGTCATTTGACCAACACTGCAGCAGATTCACCTTGAAAGCGACTGTATACATATACACACATATATATATGATATTATGTATGTCACGGCTGCTTCCGCTAAGCTGTACGAGCCGCTGCACCATCAGCCCTTTTAAATCAAGATTGGGCGTGTTATATCAGATATGGATGGAAATGAAATTCCCTTTTTATTGCTTTGTCCTCTAAGCACAACAGCAAACAACAACACACAGATGCAACCATGTCTTGTTTAACAATTTATTTCAGCATATAAAGCTCCCCGAATACACAAATGTCAGAATATAGGACAGAATCAAGCAAGTGCAGAGGTGTACGCAGCACAGGATCATGGTCAGGAAATGATCTGTGCTGAAAAAACTGAAACGTTGACTTTAATTAAATAATTTTATATAACCACTTCATATTATTGCTTTCACCTAACCGCATATAGCATAATACATTTAATTTAAGTTGACATTTCAGTTTTCTCAGTGTGGGCTGAGAAAAGTCTGGTGAAGCACTCTGTACAGAATACATTTAATATTAACACGTTTGTGACCTTTTAAATCTCTTCTTACTTCTTACTTTCACATTCTTGGATATTTAACAGTGAAGAATCCAGTCGCTCATTTACACTCAAAAGAACTGTTATTGTGGAACAATAGTGCATATTGAGTGGACTTATCCATGAGACATTCTGTGTGACTGCAATGACGTTTCTGATCTGATATGCATAAAGGCTAATATGATTTAATATATGTAGCAAACATGGACATAAAGCAGGACAAGGAGAAAGACCAAAGCCTCCACAGTGAAGCTCGTAACAGTTGAAAGAGAACCAAATATACTGCATGAATCTGAGTAACAAAGCTCAACGCTCTTTGAAAATTAGCTGAGAAAATCTTCATAGAAATGAAAGAAAAAAGGCGCTTCAGAACGTGTAGAGGAAGTTTTCAGAAGAATCCACATACTTACATTGTAAAAATAACTAAAGCCAAAAGCTGTTTCGCCATACCTCTAATGGTGCCAATATACTCAAATATGAACACATAATGGCTAAAAAACAACATTCGGGCTCCAACTACTGAAACAGCAGGACCTGCCAGTGTGATAAGGTTTACTGACTTTTATAACCTTGAACAAGGAGGTCATGTTCTAGTTTGTTCGTTTGTTTGAAGCTTTGCCAGCAGAAAATACTGTGAACCGGTTCCAGTTTTTTCTGTCATCCTATTGGTTCCTGTAAATGTCAGCGTTAGCATGCTTTAATTTATGAGATTAGCAATTTTCACACAACACTGCTCTCAACTCAAGAGGATACCGTTCACACAGCTTATACCACATAACTAAGTGAAGAATCAGCGAGTTGATAAGCAGGGTGATATGGCTTTTCATATGACTGAATCCAGACAGGTTTTTAATCACTTCAAAGTGCAGTTATTGTTAAATCACCCCACCTTTCCTCAGAGAAATTACAATTTATTCCCAAAAGAGAGAAGTTTCACAATGTTTCCCTGAAAGTGATGAAAACCACCAAATGGCAATTGTTTTTTAGTCTTAAAAGGAATCATTCAACTGTTACTGAAGAAACAGATGCTCTGGTAATCCATCATTCATTATTTGATTATACATGAAAGGTGGAAAGATGTAAAGGCACCTGCACATTTTGTTGTGATATGGCCCCCCAAGTGAAGTCTTTTGTTTGCAGTGAAAACAAATAGTCACAGTAGTTAGTAGTTACAGCAGTCAGCCAAAATAATATTTTAAAATAGAAATATACACGTTTCTTTGATTCCCTGACATTTGCACTCAGTACATGGCTCAAACATTACAAACAGTAAGTACAATCTAAAGCAGTGGTTCTCAAATGGGGGTACGCGGACCCCTAGGGGTACATTGGAGTACTGCAGGGGGTACGTGAGATTTAGTTTATGTTAATGAAAAAAACAACATAAGTAATGCATTTAAACAAACTACTAATAGTAGATGAACTACTTTATTCAAAGGTTTACAGTAATTCTGGATAATAACATGGGAAAACAAACGGGGTGCTCTCTTTTCCTCTCCCTCTCCTGACAGCCCGTCAGTCTCGTGCAGCTCGCTGAACCTGTAATAAGTGACCCGACAGTAAAGAATAAATATATGTATAACTAGTTTAGCTAGTTCCAGAGTAGATAAACTAGCTAAGTGTGTTAGGTCTAACTCTTAGTGTATTTCATTTTGCTCCACTCAACGGTCCGTCACAGCGGCGGAGCTGTGATCATGCAGAGCTGCGTGTTCTCCGTCAGCAGCAGCTGATCTGATCTCTCTCTCGCGCCCGGTTATAATTCCAAATCTATCAGATCTAGCTAGTTCTAGCTAATTATATGACTGCCTGCTTATCAAAGGACCTAAACAATAAGCGTTGCTTGGCAACGGCGTGTGGCCGCAAAGTATAGCGCAGCATTATGCATATGTTTATATGAGGGGTCAAAATCCCATGCTCATAAAATGCTCATATATGTTTTTCTCTACATTCCCCACGCCCCAAAATAAATAAATAAACCAATTTTAGGAAAAGTATCGAAGTTAGAGCAGTGTGGGTTTTATATTAACAGAGTTACACATATTTCAAAACGCGAAGTGTAATAACTGCAGTTAGCCTCATGATCCTCAGTGAAGCTCAAGCCCATGTTTCTCACTACATTGTAAGTACAACTTATCAAAAAGATCAGTTCAATGCAACTTATGTCGTCTTAGTGTTATTGCATGATGTTAAAATTGGTTTGCCATGAATTTAGTGATGGATTGTAAACATTTGAAATGTAGCATTTAAGTGTTTCTCAGTTACAAGGTTGTTGTTTTAATAAATCAGACACTGATGGTACAAGGCTGTACTGTGCCTCTTTATATAGGCTTTTTTCCCTAACAAATAATTGTTGCGCTGATCAGGGGGTACTTGGCTGAATATTTGTTTCAAAGGGGGTACATTATTGAAAAAAGTTTGAGAACCACTGGTCTAAAGTACTAATTACAGTGACAATACATCCATATTTTCTATCTCACAAGACCTCACTGGAAGCCTAACACAGGTCTTAGCAAACGTAATGCTAAGTATGCTACATGCTAATGCTTCTGGAGTGCTTTAACAGACAGCAGCCTTTCAGGAAATCACAGCCTCTCTCTGTTGGCTCATGACAATCATTGGTTCTTCACAAACCTGTCTCTTCACAGGACGTTAGTCATACTCTTTGGACATCTGCGGGACGACGACGACCTGCTTCTCCTTGAAGCAGCGCCTGAAGAAGGTGAGCACCGAGTTCAGCAGGTAGTGTTGGCTCCTGCTGGAGGCCATGCTGTGGCCTTCATCTGGGAAAATCTACGCAGCAGGAAATACAAATAACTGTCAATTGTTCTTCTTCAATGTATTCAATTGTTTTTATTCTTGACATCAGATAGCAGTTTAATGCTTACGAATCCTTCATTTTGGAAATTCACTTTGTTTCTGAGAATAAGACACTATGCTAAATCTGTAATTAGTCAACCATCTCATTAGCTTAGCTGAGCTGTCCAAAGCAAGACACAAGGCTGACTATATATTATTTCCTGACCCAGTTTGTTTAGCGAAGTGGCATGGGAATGCTATCGATCTTTACATCTAACTCAGAGTGAAAAGGTGAGTATCAGGGAGAAGTGTCTGTGACATTTCTATTTTTTTAAGTTCCACTCCAATTTATGTTCAGATCTCTATTCTTGTTTTTCTTTGCAGATGTTTAAGGTGCCACATTTCTCAACATGTTAAGTGTTGTCTGTACAAGAACTAAATGAGTATAAAATGTTCAAACCAATAACACAACAGTTATTTGACAACATGTCTCTTGTTGGTAACATGATGTCCCTCAGAGAAGAAAGCAGCAGTCACCTGGAGAGTGTAGTTCACATTTAACACTGACAGCAGTTTGACCAGCTCAGCAGAATGCTGGAAATGAACGGTGGCTGGAAGAGACAGAAAACTGAAATAAGAATGTGACCAAGCATGACACAAAAGCTTCTCAGTCCATTACACTTCCACGGGAGGTAAATGATAATGCATTGTTGGGCAAAACGTGCCCAGCAAATGTAATGTTACATTAGCTTTCCACATTCCACCAACCAATGCAAAGAAAGACCCTGATTGTACATAAACATGTTTCTGTATGTACATTCCTAACAATGATTAAAATACATATACTGTAGTAAGAGAAAACATACTAGGTATATTTTCTTAATTTCCAATACAGTGGCAGGAGGCCAAGAACAGTCATTTTTAAGATGCTGTTAGACACACATTGAATGCCACAAAACAAAAGTCCATTCCTGGAGTTATCCTGCCAATACACGTTATATACATCCTCCTATCTGCTGTATTGAACCTCACCATCTGCTGTGCCGTGGATGATCAGAAAGTTCAGAGGGCTCGATGCTGTGCTGTTTCTGAGCAGACTGGAGATCTGTGGGGACAGAGAACAGGACCGTGAGCCTCCGCTGACCAAACACTGTCTCAAAAACATCCCATTTATTTACTCTAAGCAAACCTCAAGTGATGGTCTTATATTAAGGGGGTAAACAAAGAGTATCAGGTCAAATCATCTAATGTGTTAACAAGATCAGTTCCAGTACTGTGTAGAGCACATCAACTAACAAAGCAGGGGAATTATTTATCAGTGGACAATGCATTTGAAACATACCATAACAACCACAGACAGACATCTCTGAACCACACCTTTGTGTGCTGTGACCCCAACCAAAAAGGTACAAATACCTCATATGAATGAAAATAACAGGTGTGCATGAAATCTCTCCAGACCCCCTGCTTTGTGCTGGTCTCACACATTATATCATCTCCTGCGTCTCATTTACATGTTGAATGCTATGATAAAGTGTTTACACCAGTCTAGTTTGCATTCAGATGTTGGAGTACATTGTGTGAGTTCTGAACACGTCCCATTCAAGCAGAGAGAAGAATGAATAAATGAATGCATTCTATCTGTTTACTCGACAGGAAGCACTTGTGCTTTTGTGGAAATAGTAGCATGTTCTTACTTGGTATTTGTGATCGTCTGTCGCTGGGAAGCCAAAGTATTTCTCAGTGTGGGCCGACCCTTTATGGAAAGAAAACGGACACATTGTGAGCAGTGCTGTTGTAATTCCTTCACCATACCTTCACTCCATGTATTTGAATATCAAATTCACTTGACAGTGGACACTCAACATATAGCTTAAGTCTGTTGAAAAAAATCAGTACTATTGATGACCAGATACGGAGTAATTGTGTTTACTGGCTGTTTGGATGCCCTTAATTAGGTTTTGAGGGGGTTGAACCCTGATTACGGTTGCAGTTTCAAACACGCTGTTTAAGCTGTGAATTGGACAGAAACAAACTGAACTGCTCTAGTTAGATTGTTGCCTTAAATAGGTGTGTTTTATACATTGTTTAGCTTAGAGACGTAAACAGAAAAAATGAAAAGTTGACATACAAGACAACAACAGCGGTATCTATCCTTCCACCAACCCCAGTCTCTACCAAGCAGACTTCTTCTCACTTTGATTATACATTTATTTGTGATACATTTCAAACAAACATTAACAGGGAGAAAATATGTATTCCCTTGAAATATAATTGCTGTTTCGATGTAGGGGAACGTCATTTTCCAAGCCCAGGCAGCCTTGTCATGTTTGAATTAGCAACGTGTTGTAATCTTTGTTAAACTGTAAGGAGGTCTGATATACCGTAGAGTCTCCAGTTGGTGATGGGAGCCACAGCGATGCCACACTGGAACATGGAGCTGTGTGAGAGGAGCAGGAGGGAGGACAGATACCCTCCGTACGCCTGGAGAAACACAAGACAGCTGCTTTAACAAAGAAACATCATACATTTTATGTGGTTATTTATCAATTAGATAGAAAGGTAGTGTTACCTTTCCATATACTCCAACTCTGTTGCGATCGATATAGGGAAGTCTGACCAAGTGCCTAAAAATGTTGAGAGGGTTAACTACATAGCAAAAATGAAGAGAACAATTCCTAATGAGACCACATAGTAAAAGATTGTCCTTGGCTTCACAAATGCATCTGAATCATAGTACATAGCAGAGGTCGCGTTAACCGAATATTTTCCGTCTATGACGGATTTTTTTTAACAATGACGGAAAAATCTGAAAGCAGTCGGTCATTTTGACAGATTACAACAAACTCGGAACAGCGCCAAAGTTTACCCGCAGCGAGGCTCCGGTGTTATGCATGCCTGCCAAAAAGGAAATGATACCGTTTCCAAACCCAACTTTGCCGCACTCCCGCGAGGTGCAGTGGGCATGCATAACACGGCGCTAACGGTTCACGAGCGTGCGCCCCGCCCCCTGTTGACAGTTCACGACTGTGCTCTCCCCCCGGTTGACA